GTGGGATGAAAATTAAAGTAAAAAATATGACGTAAGTGGGAGAGCAAGCAGGTGAGGGATGGACAGATATGGAGTAACCGAATAGTTGGCGAGTGAGTAGGCGAATAACTGACGGGTGAGTAGGCGAATAACTGACGGGTGAGTAGGCGAATAACTGACATGTGAGTAGGCGAATAACTGAAGGGTGAGTAGGCGAATAACTGGCGGGTGAGTAGGCGAATAACTGGCGAGTGAGTAGGCGAACAACTGACGGGTGAGTAGGCGTACAACTGGCGAGAAAATGGACGGATGAACAAGAAGTCTCACTGTTGGGTGAGCGGTGAGGTAGGTGGTCGGGGCAGTCGAGTTCTGCCGCTGTGTGCCGCGACCGGCCGTAGAAAAGCCACGACCGTACGGGCGAATTCCTGACAACCACTGCTTGTTCCCGGAGCTTTAAAAGTCAAATTACGCAGAGTTCCCTCTTTCCAAACAATACAATGATTGCCACTTCGGGTCTCTTGTTTGTGACGGCCTTTTCCGTACTCTATACAGTTTCATTTAGGGAAATGTTTCGAGCTGAGCGGACATTGACATGATATTCATTTTCCTGTAAATTTACTTCCCTTGTGAATATTTCTGCCCGTACACAACTTTGAACTTTTGTTACGTTGGTTGATTTTTTTCCAATTCTCATTTTCGAACAAATATGTATGATTTTGAGAAAACTTCAGCGAAGATGAAATGGCAGTTTTTCATAACTGATTTTAAAGTTTCAATATGCGTTTTTTTCAGTGTATTCATTTTAGCAAAGATAGAATATTTTTTACGTAACATTCATTTAAGCTTCTTATTTTTCTTTTACAATTTCATTTTATTTAAAGTGTTCTGATAGATGATTAACACCGTTTGAATTTTAAAATTTCCATGAATTATCTGTATTTTTATTGTGAGTAAAAATTGTATTACATTACGAAATATTATTGGTTGAATGCAATATTTGATGGAAGTTTATTTTTTACAAATTATTTTACTCATACAAATTATATTTCTTTCCAATTAATAAATTCAAAGAAACATAAAATATTAATAAAAAAATGTATGTTTAAATCAAGAAAACTATCCAACATATTTCTAATACTGTTTTGAATACTTATTTTGCAATTCACGAGATCATTTTAGTATATAATTCACGAGATAATATATAATTAGTATATTTTCTCTATTGAACACCAAAAATTTCTCAATTTTTTAAAAATGTTTTTTTTTAATAAAATGACATAATGGGTATTGGTACGGCGTCGAGTAAATCCATTGCAAGTTTTCAATACAATCTGATCAACTGGCACTAGTATTGTGTAGTTCGTCCAGTCAGAAATGCATCGGGTTCTGAGAGCTTGTCCCGGATGGAGTTGTGCCCCGCGAGTGGGAGACACCTGGATGAGGAAAATCCCTGCATACCGACGTGTATCGAGATGTCGGATCTTGCCATCCATCGGGGGAAGATCCTTCCCCTTCCTTGATCAAGAAACATACACGACACTTACGGGACTATTGACCATAACCGTTAACGGAAACATTAACCAATACAGTTGTCTGTGCTGAATGGTCTCGAGAGTCGTATGAATGAAAGTGAATGTTTTTTGCGTTGTCTGAGTGGCCTCGTGAGGGTTACGTGCGAGGGGGAGTGAGTGCGTGAGTGCGTGCGTGCGTGCGTGAGTGGCGAGCGAGAACTCCCCGACTCATCTTCGCGTGGCGCGTGCGGGCGATGCTGCAGGGGAGGTGGAGCGGCTGCTCCGGGAGTACCGGCAGAACCAGGAGCTGGTGCGCAACATCGGCGCGCACTACTACCAGATCATCTACCCCGTGCAGCTGCGCCACCACGAGAAGATGGGCATCTCCACCCGCGAGATAGGGGCTCCCAAGGTGAGTACGACATCCTTTTTTTGTGTTTTTTGTTTGCTTGTTTTTGCGTAATTGAGGGGCGTTTTTTTAAAACATGATAAATGCAAAAGTTAGTTTTTCGTAAAAATAAATGTTGAGAATGCATTTACATCGGTTTTTGGTAATATCTTGTAATTTTGAATGCTTAAAGCTTACGTTTACTGTAGAATTTTAAGAGTTTTGATAACACCCGACTGGAGGTATGATGAAACGTGATAAAAAAGATGTCTAAATGATGTATAACCTATACTTTATTTATTTTGAAGAAACGCTCCTCAATTATGTACTGTTACATCGACTAAATATAACAAAAGGAACAAAAAGGTGCTCCTAACAACCGTTGTCTGTTAAATCGACAAACCATCCCCCGACTATTAAGCACAATCCATACAAATACGTTGTAGATGCAGATGACGCAAAAGTTCACCTACTTCCAGTATTACTTTTTGTTATGTATGTTTATTCCTATAAGAAGGTAGTATAACGGAAAGTATGAACAACAATAAGATGATATCAGAAATTATGTACTTAGTCGGCTATAAACTTTGGCTATTGCCTTGGTGTACAAAATTCAACCACCTTAACTTTTTCTTCTATATCACATTATTGACGTAAATAACTGTTTTCTCCGTCATATACCACTGATTTACTCGATTTTCTTGAACCTTCCAAATGTTTCATGGTCATCCTATTTATTAAAGTACTATGGAAAACTATTTTCACTTCCCTTATAATCGGCTCCCAGTGAACTTTTTCAACCAAGTGAGGTACAAAACAAATTAGAAGTGGAGATCACTATGCGTAGAATAAGTCGCAATTTTTACGTATTGATAAAATCTACGAAATTTGCGTTGTTTGAAATGCGCGGCTAGGATGTAAACGGAAAGATGGCGTCATGTACAACTTCGCATGCTCGCGGGAAATTCAAGAACAGTTGGTCTTCCTTCGAGAACACCGTGTTGCGAGATCCTTAAAATGATTGTTTGTGACTTGTCTATTGTAAGTATTCAATGTACTATCTTAAATCAATTAAAACAATATGTGAATGAGTAACGCATTGGAATACGTTTCTCACTTTGTCCAGTTGCCTTGAACACCTTGTTAGTGCGACTCGAGAAACGGTGTGAGAATCCAATTACCCTTGGCGTTCACAACTATGCCACGTAATGGTTGACCAAAAACGGTTAACAGTAAGCATTTGCACTTAGAAACGTGATTATATTGCCCAACTTTATAAATGAAATAAATGTTTCAAGGCAAAAATCTCAGACACGTTTTGAAAAGAATTTATTGTTATCAGTTAATAGCTACTATAACAACAATACATCGAATTAGTTTACTATAATATATTTGATAACAGATGTTAATACATTTACGTAGTTGTAGACAACGTACAAAGAAATGAGCTACCGAAACCAAAAAAAATAGGCTCTTGTTCGATTAAACGAAAAGAAAATGACGAAAGGACGAACTATTCGAATGTAAAAAAGCAAGTAAAATTGTGGATTCTAAGTCGAAAATAAATTCAAAATAGTTATTTACCAATCACTCACTTCATTTAGTCTAGCGTTACAAATATTTCTATATTACTTTTTTTATAGTTCTTTTACAGTATGCACTTCTGAAACGAGGAAATTGGAAATACCATCATTTTTCATCTGTGTAACTATGTCCATAAATTAAAAAAAAACTTTTGGAAGTTTCTATTAAGCGAAATTATATCAGATAAACAGAAACTACTTATATAACAGTTATCAACGCGGAGTAATAAAGTTACACGTGCACGTAAAACGTGTGGAAACAAATACTGCACAGAGGTAAATTCAGTGAAATAGAAGACTGGAAGATTCTTAAACTCGTGCCACACTCGAACCTTGTCAGATCACCTCACGTAGTCTGTTTTATTTACTGTGTGACATGAAATGCGAAAAAACAGCGCAATATCCTCTGTGATGTAGTCAAAGATAGAGTGAATCACAATTCGCGCGTTGATGAGTTTCGTCGGCACGCCGTTAACGTGAAAAAATGAAATGTTATGGAGGATGATGTGATGGAAGGAGAGAAAAGAGAATCAGAACAATGTTGAGGAAACCGCTCACGAGATTTCTTTTGTCCCCCACCACATAGATAGATGAGAATCTGAAACCTGGAAACCCGAGAAAAAACAACCGTACCGGTCACTAATTTTTCGTTCGCCCCAAAAATCCCTTAAAAGTGCCAAAATATTTGTATATTTTGTTTGCATAAAAAGGAAAATCGTAACTACATTTCAGTATTCCACTGGTTTAGTATTACTCCATTTCAGGCGTGAAATGTACAGTAAAAAAATTGTATGAATACGCAACCCTCAATACACATCTGTATGTAGAGGTTTAGGTTGCCGAACAGTTTGTAGTGCAGGCGCTACCTCATGCGAAGCACAGGTAGCTAAAATGAAATTGAAAATGTAAACATTTCGAATTGTCTCTAATTTTCTTTACAATTAAAAAAGTATAACAAGACATATAAAATCTTTCGTATATCATTTTAATGACATTTTCTGGAAATGCTAATTAATTTTCAAAAACATACTTTTTATTTTCTTTCCAAAGTAAGGACTGATACTTTCCAAGCATTCCTCTGCTGTTACTTTTGTTCGGACAGCCATAGGAATTTTACAGAGAGGAGACAAATAAGGTTTGGAGGCTGAAATATTTGCGTTTCTTTATGGACAACATTATCTCTCTTCTGTGAAGTAACGAGTTTTCCTTCGGCGACTTTCGCAAGCGAGATGATGCTCCATACAGGAATGAAACCCGGAATTGCGGCTTGGCCACCTAGGGTTATTTTGTTTGAATTTATACTATTACTAGTGAACGAAAACAACATGTAAACGACAATGATACTTCAACAGGTAATGTATGAAAAAAGGCAAATTTTTTACAGCCTTCTCTTTGGATTGTCGCTGTGTCTTTTCAAAAGGTTGGTAAAGATTAAGTACAAATAGTACAAATTCATAAAATAAACATTTTAAATAATATATTGGTAGATGAACCACGATCATTTGTCGCCTGTCGCTAATAGCAGATTGGTTAATAATATATTTCGCCAGCGGACAGTAGAGGTGCGGTAGAACTGATAACTAATAGATTTTCTGAAGGCCAATAGCAGTGGGTATGAAAAAACATTTTAATTTACTGTAAAATAAAATGAGAGAAAATTATAGAATATTATTAACATTTGAACCAAGTACATTAAAAACAATCCTAAATACTGTGTTTTATATAAAATTTATATTTTTTTCTTTTTTCGCAAGGATTGAATGTGAAGAATGCTCAGGCAACGCCGGGTATTTTGCTAGTATAATATAATAAAGTTTTAAAGTGTATCTAAACAGTTACTTACTCTGTAGTTATATCGATTTAGGTAAAAACCTGAAGCTCGAAGGGGATGTGACCGTGAGTTGGCGGCTCAGTCGACGAGTCGCGGTGAAAAGGCTGAGATGGGAATGGAACGGAGGGATGGGAGGGGGAAGGGCGCTCCGGAAATAGGGCGAAGGTCTGCACGTGACGCCGCGCGAGGGGGCTGGGCGAGATTAAAACACAGCGCCCCCGGCGGGCGAACACGCCCACAGCAGACTGACCGGCTGGCGTGGAGGTTCGCGCACCGGAGCACACACTTTAATTTACGATTTGACAAGATTGCACACTTTCAATCTTGCATCTGCATTGAAGGCCCTCATGACGCGCACAATAAATGTGCAATACTTTCAGATATATTTCCACCGTTTGGATTATGAAATTCAAACATTTCTGATTGTTGCCGTCTGTGGCTTTAAAATTATATTAATGCAAATTGATGGTATTTATATTATTATTAATAATAATAGTAATAATAATAATTAATAATAATAAGTAAAAATAATGTCATTGTTTAACAAACTATAAATGTTAAATAATATAGACGTTATGATATCAAAACATTCGGGTGCTTTCAAAAATATTACTCTACATATCCTGAAATTGCGGCAATTTAACAGCAAGCATAATGCCTTCTATGTTGTTGATAATTATGACAGCAAAGCAAGGAAAGACAATAAATACGTATTAGAGTAGAAATTACATGAACTAAACAATATTAATTTTGTCTAGTGCAGAGTAATCATTAGATAATATAAGTCCCCAAAACTGTATTTCATACTCAATTTAAGATGTCTCAAAAAGTTGTTCATTATAATGTTATAATGTTTTCAGTTATAATGTATGCTAAAAATACATAAACCACACCATTCTTTAGTAACAATTTGACATTGAGATTTGACCCATATTTTGCAAATGGTTGCCATCAATTTGAAATCCGGTTTCATACAAGATAATATACTTCCACTTGTGGGTCAACTTGGATGTTGACGACTCGTCGTTGAGACTCTCAACACAAACCTCTTGCAGCGAGTGCCCGCAACAGCCCGTAGGTCTGGCCGCAATGCGCCGCCTCTGCAGAGCACGGTCAGCGGGGGCGGCGGGGTGGCGGGGGCGGT